GGGCGTGCTTGATGGCTGTCACTCGAAGCTTGGTGGCATGAAAGTGAGATTCGCAACAGTCCTGACCAGAGGTTCTCTCCGCTCGCTGCTTTACAGCTCGTTGGTCGGCGCTTCGCGCCGAATTCTCGGACTCCGGTAGAGAGAAGAGAACCTCTGGGACCAGGGTAGGCTAAGCCTAACTGTAACAATATACAGAACAATGTCATATGCTTGTAAAATAAAAAAATCCTCCAGGGTTTGAAATCACTTAAAAGAGATGTTTTTGAAGAATTTCAATACAGCAGTTATTCAGTGGAAGTGCCTTATACCTGTGACCTAAACTTCAAAGTGTTGACCTTACGGATTTCATGTGTCATTTATTGTTTGTAGTTAGCTTTTCACACACTTTTTTCAAGTCTAGACTTTTGCACTGGCAATTCCTGAGAACTGCCAGCTTGTATCTTTCAAAGTTCAACGTTTTTGATTAATGATAGAATTTTGACCAACTGGTATCTGTGTAAGCAGTTTTGTACCTCCTTGAGAAGAATGCAGTTAACAAAGATATCACACTCCAAAATCTCTGCAAAGGGTCCTTTTCCTTTAGTCTCTGCAGTGTTCCACTCTGTTATGTTTGACCTTAAAAGGCAAATTTGAAAAAAAACTGTGGAAATTCCGAAAGTGACCTTCAAAGGCAAAATGTGGGAGAAATTTAAAAAGACCATGCAGCCCAGTCACCTTTTCTAGGGGAAGGAGGGAACCCACTTAATCCACAAATTCATCAACTATAAGCATTCGGATATACATAAGTAAGCCCCAAATTGGCCAGTGTTTGTAAAGAGCTATAGTAGCCAATTTTTTAAATTTATTAATAATTTCAATTTTATCTTGGAGAGCTTAAGTAGTTTTTTTTTTTAACTTATGATTAATTCAAAGCCTACTTTGGAACACCCATTTTGTGAGCCATCTCCACTGCACCTCTGCCACAACGTCCCCGAGCACCAATCACAAAGACCCGTGGAAACACCTCTGGAACACCTGAATATTCCATTACGTTAGTCATAAATGATACAAAAGCTGACGTACTTAGGTAAGCTTTTGATTAATTCTTCCCTAAATGTCATAATATCGATAACAAAGGGCTGAGTACAAAACACGATATCATCTAAACAATTTTTTAACCTTCCATCAAACTTATTCTCAAGAATGCTACAATGAAATGGAAATCATCTTCCTGTTATTTCTGCTGATCTGCACTTAATTTTTAAGAAATAACCAATGCAACAATCTCCATTTTGTTGATTTTCTTCATTTATTTACTCTTTAATCAGAAACATGATAAACCTTTCATGTTTCACATATTAATTATGACGTAATGCTAAGCACGTGACTCTCCTCGTGCGTGCAGTGCTTGCTTCTGTACCTTCGTTACTTTCCGCCATTAAACTAGTTGAGTGGGCAAACACCACAAAATTTTGGCGGCGAGTACAGGATTAAAGTAACATGCCCGGGGAGATAATACAACCGATGATGAAGTCCAAGGGCCGACATTTGACGTTGAAACCGATTATCATCGCGGAAAGGTAAAAATTTCACAAGTACAATCAAGTGGAAGGTCAGTCAATTCGTGAATTTTTAGCGAAGTTGCAAAAATTAGCGGAAACTGCGAGTGGGGGATAACGCAATGAAACATTGAGGGATAGACTGGTGTGTGGCTTTACCTCACAAACGATTC